TTTTTCTGTTTGATGGGTTTTGGGAGAACAGTATCAGGTACATTAACACATTTGCCAAAAGTTAGAATCAGTAGAGAATGTTAACTTTGCCCCTTTGGTCAGTTATAGTCTTTTTTATTCCCAAAAGTGCCTATGGGTAAAAGGGGTTGGCAGGTGGTTAGAGAAGGCAGCTGGATGCTGCTCAGCAATCCCTGGCAAGCACAGTGTAGCTCATGCTGAAATTACTGAGATGTGGTGCTCATGCTTAAAAGAGCAGGACTAATCCCCTCTCTAAAGTTCAATCCATAGTTTACCATCTGGGCCAAACAGTTTTATTAACCAGTGGTTACACTGTACTGCAAGCTCTGTTTGGTGAATTTACAAAGGTGTAGATTCATGAGGCTGATTTTGATGATCAACACAACAAGTGTTTGTACCTTTCAATGCATGTCATTCAGTTACCTGGATAAGCTGCATATTACTTTTCATTACTGAAAATGTTGCTCTGAACATTTCTGGAATTTCTTTTGGATTTCCTTCAGAAACAGTTAAAAATTTATGCATACTTTATAGACCTGCTTCATTACAAAAAAAATTTATCCTCTTTAAAAAAAAAAAAGCATTACAGGCATAGATCAAGACCCTAAGAGTGGCATAGATCAAGACCCTAAGAGCAAGTTAAATATTTCAAATGTTTTGAGAATTAGAGCGATTTCCAAAGTAGCCTCTGAAGAACTTACGTTACCTTCAATATTCTGTGTTGGTGTTCTAGGCAGCGTAAATGATCTCTGCTTTCACAGGCAGCTTAGAGTTTAGAAAGAGGAAAGGGCAAACAGTTCCTATCAAGGAGCTGTTTCATGTAGTAAATTTGGGGAGACAATGGAGAAACTTAATAGTGGTGGGAATGTGTGGTGGGTCTAAGGAGGGGGCTTAGGAAAGAGGCCTTAGAGGTGGCTTTGCAGTTGACAATGGAGGGATGCAAAGGGAAGGGTGATGTGGAAATTTGGAGAGAAAGTCTTACCAGTTTAAGAAATAGTAGGGCAATGTGTCTTGAGACAGGAAGCATAGTTGAACAAATGATGGTACCTACCTCTGAGAACGCCTGCAAATACATGAGAAATTGACATTTTCATTTAAAACAAAACAAAACAAACAACCCACCCCCCCTCCCGAAAATCAGAAGATAAACAAAGGTACTCTGCATGCAACTGCCACAGAGAAGAGTCAGGGCAGCAAAGGAAGAAATATATTTCCAGAAGAGTAAGTGAGGGAGAACTCTGGAAATTAGCAATGAAGTGACAGGAACCCTAAAAAGCATAGAGTCAGAAAGACAGCCTTGAGAAAAAAAGAGCAAAGCAATTCATAACTTCAACCCTGGTTCCTGCACAGGGTCCAGGAACACAACTGGGAAAGGGTAAGCAGGCAAGTGTAGAAGAACTTCACAGTACTTACAAGATTTAAATATAGTTTAGGGAATTGGGTGGTCTAAAAGTGATTGCTGTGCTCCAAAGAGTCTAGTCCCCAGTCCACTAGAACTCTACAGTGACCACTGTTACATGCCATCTTGGCATAAGGGCCAGCAGTTGCCTAGTTTAGTAGTCCTTCCATGGGCAAAAAAACATCCCCATTAGTATGCTGCAGCTTTAGAACAAGCAGGTGCCATGGCCACAAGCTCCATGTTTGTCTGTGGAAGGTTTCCTCACCAGCTCACAGCCTTGGGAAGGTAGCCCCTGTTATAAACTCCAGGCTTCACCTGTACCTTGTCCATTAGGTGATGGGAAAGTGCCCACTGAGGAACCCAGTTACCAGGAGCTCCAAACCCACCCTGTGAGAACTAGAGATGCTCTTCCCAGCCCAAGGCCTTGGTACTATAATTGCTGGTGCAAAAAGCCTCAAAACCACTCAATATTATCCCTGAGAACTGGAGGAAGGCCCCTTTCATGTTCTCCAGGACTACCAATGCCGTAAGCCTTGGCCCCACCAGCACTTGCCCTGTGTGCCGTAGGGACATTCCCATCCATGTCTGCATCCAGGAATGCAGATATCAAAGCCTCAGCACCAACTGTGCTCAATCTATGGAACCTAGATAAGATCTCTCCCATGTGCTACATCTCCAGGAACACTGATACCAGTACTACAAGTGCAAATGTGATCTGTACATGCTCTCTATAGATAAGTAACAATGGAGGGAACATCTCCTATATTGCCTGTGGACTTTGGACCAGAGCTGCCAAAAGTCACAAAACCACAGCTTCAGGAAAAGTGGATAACAGTGGTGACAGGTCCCAGCACCAGATGTAATTGCCTATAGGGCATCGAGAAAGTTCCCTCTATGTTCCAAGATCTTGCTTGAGCCCATGATTACCACTGCCAAAGGCCCCAGCATCACCAGTGCTGCTGGTGCCATGTGACCAGGCATCACCCACATTCCATCTTGAGAGTTCTGTGGATGGTGTCCTGTTAATCTTCTGTCTGGGAACTGTGGCTACTGGTGCCAAACCACTTGGCATAATCTGTGCTGGCTCTGAGGGACCTTGGAGGAGTTTTGTCCACATCTTACACCACCAAGACTGTGGAAACTGCAACCAGCCACCACAAGCCCCAGCTCCATCAGATCTTGACTGTGGAGCCTGAAAACACACACCTGTGGAAGCTTGTGTATACTTCAAAGAACTGCTTTAGTCTGTATGATTGATGCCTTCATAGACACTGCTGACATAAAGCACACAGATGCTTGTGAGTTACCTTGTAACCAAACACAAAACACCTATCCATCTAAATGCATACCCCATCTAAATGCAAAAATATTTTCCTATTTAAGCTACTTCATAAAATGGGAAGAGGTGAACATTGCACCAGATGTGCAGATACAACATAAGGACACAAGAAACATTGTGGCATGATTCTCTAGAAACAGATCTCAACTTAAAGAAAATCTATGGCATGCCTGAGAAAGACATTTAAAATAAGGATCCAAAGGAAACTCAGTGAGATGCAAGAGAATACAGATAAAAAGTACAAAGAATTGGAAAATATTCATGATATGAATGACATAATCACCAAAGAGATAAAAATAATAAAAAGAACCAATCAGAAATTCTGGAGCTAAAAATTTTAAGAATGAGATGAAAAATAGTATAGAGAGTTTCCACAACAGAATAGAATAAGCACAAGAAAGAATTTCTGAATCTGAGGAGAGGTCTTTTGAATTAACTCAGTGAGACAACAACAACAACAAAATAAAATTAAAGAAAGCCTATGAGAATTATGGGACATCATTGGGTGAACAAATAATGGCATTATAGTAATTCCAGAAGGTGAGGAAAGGCAAAAGGTGCTGAAAAAACAATTTTTGTGAAGAAAAACCAGAAACTTTCCAAATCTTTAGCGATATGGATATATAGATATAAGAAGCTCAAACAACCCCAACTAGACTCACCAAAATAGACCTATACCACAGTATTATAGTCATAATGTCAAAAGTACATAATGTCACAAATAGCTTTTCTCTTGCTATTTTTAAGATTAAGTCACATACAAGGATACAAGGGAATGCAGATTTCCCAGCAAAACCTTAAAGGTCAGAAGAGAATGAGATGATATATTCAAAACACTGAAAGAAAATAAACCCTGTCAATCAATAAACTGGGCCCATTAAATTATCCTTCAAACAAAAGAAGAAAAAAGTCTTTTCCTGATAAGCAGAAACTGAGGGAATTCACCACAAGATCAACCCTACATTAAAAACAAAAGAGTATTACTCATCATGAAATCACATAGAAATATAAAGAGTCACTAGAGGAGTAGATACATGAAAGAAAAAAGAATTTTGCATGACACAAAACTACTAAGTCACAAAAACAATGAGAAGTAGAAAAGAACAAAAAATATACAAAGCAGGTAGAAAACAACAAAATGACAGGAAGAAGTTATCTCTAATAACCTGGAAAGTAAGTAGACTGAATTTACCAAAAGACAGACTACTTGAATGGATTGATGAAGAAGCTGCTGCTACCCAACTACGTGCTTCTTACAAGAAACTCACTTCACTGGTAAAGACAGACTAAAAAGTGAAAATTTGGAAACCAAAAGTGAGCAGGAGTGGGTATATTCATATCAGATAAAGCAAACATCAAATCAAAATAAAGTATAAAAAAGGCCAGAAGATCATTATATATTGTTATAAATTTCAACTCAGCAATAAGCTATATCAATTATAAACATATATGCATTCATTAGGGGACCATCCAAATACACAAATATTACTAGATCTAAAGGGAGAAAATATAATACAATAATAATTGGAACTTCAATGCCCCACTTCTTCAATGAACAGATCATTCAGACAAAATCAACAAAGAAACATCTGAGTTTAAGATCTAATAGAAATATATAGAAGTTATGGAGGCACACAAAAATGGAAAGGTGTTGGTGTTTATGAATTGGATGAATCAATATTGCTAAAATGATCATACAACCCAAAGTAATTTATAGATTGAATGCCATTCCCATGAAAATGTCAATTACTTTCTTCACAGAGAAGATAGAAAAAACAATCCTAAAATTCATTGGGAGCCACAAAACACCCATAATGGCTGACATAAGCCTAAGGAGGGGAAAAATGTTAGAGACATCACAATAGCTGACTTCAAAACACACTACAAAGCTACAGTAATAAAACAGCATGGTACTAGCATGAAAACAAGACACTGATTAATGGAACAGAACACAACTTAATCTACCTCCATACAGTTAAGTGATTTTTGACAAAGGCACCAAGAACATAGAGAAAAGAGTCTCCTATAAATGTTGTTAGCCAAATTGGTTATGCATATGCAGACAAATGCAACCAAATCCTTTCATTTCATTGTATATTAAAGGCAACTCAAACTGGATCATTTAAATGTTAAAACTATGAAATCACTGCAAGAAAATACTTCAGGAATTGGTGTTGACAATGATTTTTTAGATAGAACCTCAAAGGCATAGGTAATAAAAGTAAAACTAGACAAATGGGATTGATATATCAAACTTCTACACAACAAAGGAAATAACAGAAAGAATGGAAGAAAATCTATTCAAATATACAAATGCTATTTTTGCAAATTATTCATCTGACAAAGCATTGATATCCACAATATGTAAGAAACTAAAAAAGTTGAATACTATAAAAATCCAATTAAAAAATGGGCAGAAAAACTAAGCAGACACTTCTAAAAAGAAGCTAACTAGTATATAAAGAACAATTCAATCTCCCTAATCATCAGAGAAATGCAAATCATAATCACAATGACATATAATTTCACCCCAGTTAAAATGGCTATCATCAAAATGACAAAACATAAGAAAGTGCTGGCAAGGATGTGGAAAAAGGGAAACTCTTATATACAGTCGGTGGGAAGGTATAGTGTAGCCATTATGAAAAAGAGTGGCAATTTCCTTAAAAATCTAAAAACAGTACTAGCACGATTAAAAAATTCCACTATTTAGTACATGCCCAAAGGAGTTTAAAATTATTATACCAAAAAGATACTTATATCCACATGTTTATTGCAACTGTTTTCACAGCCACTAAAATGTGGGCACAATCAAGATGCTCTAGGGTAGATGAAAGGAAAATGTGGTCTACATATGTAATGGAATATTATCCAGTCATAAAACAGAATGAAATCCTATCTCTTGCAGCAATGTGGCTGGAACTGAAAATCATTTTAAGTGAAGTAAACCAGACACAGACAAATACATGTTATCACAGTACACTGAAGAATGAAGGTCACTAGAGACGAGAAGAGGGAGTGAGGGAAAGTTCACTCAGGAGAACCAAACATTTGAGTCAAGGAATTAGTTCTGGTTCTTCTTTGGCACAGTAGGATAACTGCTGGTTAAAACAATCTATGAAAAAACTGGGCGTGGTGGCACACGCCTGTAATCCCAGCAGCTCAGGTGCTTAGCAGCTCATTGGCTGAGTGCCCTGAGTTCAATCCTGGGTTAAAAAAAAAAAATCTGATACACATTTCCCAACATATCAAAATGATTAATATTTAAAGGGATGGAAATACCTGTTACCCTGATTTGATTATTACACACTGTATACATACAGTGACTTACCATGATGAACCCCATAATTATGTACAAATTAGGTCTCAATAAAAACAAAAAAATGATGAACTCTACATACTGATATATGAAAAAGATACATTTGATCTTCCTAAGCTACTATAGTTAATGGGGTCTAGAAAGAAAGTAGAGTTCAGGCTGGGGATTCAGACAGAGGACTCTAGGAATAAACTGGTTAAAAATCAAGTCTCAGGTCCTGGTCTAGATCAATATATGTTGTTACATCTCACAAGTTTTCCATAATTACCTAGAAATGTGCTGCTGTCAAACTGGATTTTCTATGACATTTTAAATTGAGTTTGTTTAAATATGTCATTCCAGTTCCATGCTTTGTCTGATAGTGGAGTATCTGATCTTGAAGATCCAATTTTGGCTCCTCTGAAAGATACAGAGAAGTTTGGGATTGTGCAACGCTTATTTGCCTCAACCAATATTAACCTGGAGAGACTACAGTCATCTGTGAAAGCTGTTGTCCTGAAGGATTCTCATGTTTTCCCACTAATTCTCTGTATTACCCTGAATGGACTCTATACTTTGGGCAAAGAACATGAGTAATGCCATTTGTCAATCAGAAGCATATAATATTGGCAAAGCTAAGTATGTTTCAGAATTGTTAATATACTAATTTGGGATTTAGGTCTAATGCATGTTAAAAGTTGATCAATGAAATGAATTAAAAAAGACATTAAGTGGTGACTTTCTGCATTCTGAATGACACAAGTGACTCTTTAAACATTAGAATCTCTCCTATGCTGGTAAATGGCAGATACCCACATCCAAGATAGATTCTAGGACCTGAGGAGAGTTGAGATTCCAACCTAGTGTACATTCAAACCTTTATTTTTTCCCCAGAATAATGGTTCCATCTATCACTTTCTTACATTTTCCACTTTGTTACATGTGAACACAGAATAGTCTGACATTTTAATCCAAAAATTCATTTTAAATTTTGACTGCTGTGGGAAGATAATTTCTTGTTACAAAATTGGCTATGTATTGGATGTACTGTACATATTTGATGATTAAAAAATAAACTGTAAATGTTCCGGGAGTATTCTTCTGCAAAACAAAATTTTACTAATGAAACAAAACAAATTCAATACTAATATTAAAAAAAAAAACCCTGCCTGGGGGTTCTAGCTGTATCTATTTTATTTGACCTTGCCTTGTTTTGATGAATATGCTAATTCTACATCTAGTACAAAGTTCCTATGCATGTAGTAATTTAACTTGTCATTGCTATACTTTCTATCCAAGGAAAATTTGAACTTAAATTTTTTTTTTTTGCTTTTTATTCTGTTTTGACTTCTTTCTATCATAAATAGCTTAGACTGCATCCCCAAGAGGTTCTATCAACAGGATCTGCTGCAATATATCTGGAACCTGGAGCCACTAAAGATGAGGAAGAGCAGTGGTTAGGGAAGCATATTGCTCAGCACATTTCTTTTTTTTAACCTCAACTTTGTACACTAATTTGTCTGGAGACATCTGAAATACATTAGTCCCCTTCTTCCCCTCAGAGTTTAATGAACATTAACAAAGAAAATATAAAGCAAACACCTTTTCATCACTCATTAAAAGATGAGATTATGCCTTATGCAAATGCTTATTCTATGTAGGGGGAAAAGAAATAAAGTACATTGTGGTGACAACTATACAAAAATAATTACCTTATGTACAAGTTGGACAGGAATATGCAAAATGAGAGCAATATTACTAAATGTGTATTTTTATTTGCCATGTTTTCTGAAGTTAAATAAAGAACTGCAAATAATGTATGAGTTTGTGTAAAAAAGAAACATTCATGTATTGATATGCATTTAAAGAGTTTACAAGAAACCAAGCATTGGCTCCCTTGGTTTCAGGGACTTAGAAGTTGGGACAAGAGGCAAAGGGAGATTTTTTTCTATTCCTGTTAGGATTTTGTATTATCCTCTTAATTCAAACAAAAACAAAACAAAGTTTAAGATGGAAGAATGAATAATACAAAAACTTAATTTCTCTGGAGACATCTAAAATACATTAGACTAGCAACTTCTCACGTGTGAGGATGGAATGCTGGAAAACAACTTGGGAGAGTTGCAAAGGGCACTTTCTGACAAAGGTTTCCTGTGTGAACCCTTGGCTGTGCCTCCATCCCTTGCCAGCTTTGGGGGGTTCACGTCTTCTCTTGTTGCAGACAGTGGGCTATGCTATGTGGGGCAGCAGGTCAGCTTATTGTCTTACCCCCCAGAGTTTCTCTCTTTCCTGGAGAGCTGGGAAATGGCCTTTACACTTGTGCCACCTAAGCAGAGAGGACTTGTTTTCATGATCCTATATTTTAATCTTCCCTAGTTCTTCAATTCTTTCCTTCAGTGTGCGGTCTTTAAAAGCCAGACCTTTGCTGAGGTTAGAATAGAGGAAACAAGGATTAGGATTTCCTTGTTAAAAAACAGAGGAAGGAAAAAAATTTTTATTTAGATAAAAAAAAATAACATTAGGAACTTTTTTTACAGACTACTAGTACTTAAAAAATTTCCAAAGCTAATCTGATGTCCTGTTATTTTGTCTCCAAATCACTTCTATCTATACATGAAACACTACATTTCTACAATAGTAAATATTTATTTCTTTATATGTACAAAAATATTTTACTAGGAGTATGTAATCTCGCAAATTGAACATTTCAATAATTTTTGTTTTTGATAGCATATGGAAATATGTGAAAAGAATTAATGGGAAAGTTACTGAAAAATCAATACTTAATTGTACTCCAGGAAAATTTTATTTATATAAGAACAGCAGTAATGTTTCTTTTATACAGGAACTAGTTAGAATACAATTACTTAGAAAGCAATAGCATTTAATTTTTATTTTTAAACCTTTTCATCAGAAACTTAAGCAGCTTGTTCAGCTTTGATTTTTAGATAGCTAACAAGCATTTTGCCCTCCATTAAAAAAAAATATTCTCTTCAATAATCACTTCAAAGACTAGAAGTTAAAAATAGCATGCATTTGTGTTCAAAGAAAAGATATATCAGAAATGAACTGGGAAAAAAAAGGATTAAAAAATTCCTGAAGCAAGGTTTCACGTCAAATATCCCTCATGGGCCCTAAAAGAGCTCAACATATAACATCCAGAAAATTGCACTTGTTCCTAAACCCTACTGTTTATTTTTCCACAACAGAATCTAAGATACCACTTAAAAAAATGTTATTGAAAAATATAAGAACCAGTCAGCAATTTTTTTTTCTTAAGAGGGTACATAGCTCAACTATTTATTTTCTTTTTTTTTTACGTATGTATGTGGGGTATGTATGCATTCTCTTTCTTTCTTTCTGGATTGTTTTTTCTTTCTAAGATCACATTTATCAGAACAAGCTTTCTGTCTTAAAAGCAATGTTACTTATACAATTATTCACTTTTTTTTCAGAAAATAAGAAACATACACTTTAACTGGTAATGACTTTTGGTTTGATGTCGGTAATTTACACTGATGAGGATTTTTTGTTTTGGGTTCTGGGGAACGAACCTATGGCCTTGTACATTACCTTTGAGCTACAATCTCCAGTCCTTGACTGATGAAGTTTTACTGCTGTGATTTTTTTCCATTTTCAGTAAGTTCATTAGTTTTCCTCTAAGTTCTTAGGCCATTTTGACTGATAGGAGGAAAGCCAATTTTTTTAGGTATGGCCTGTCATATTTTAGGTGTTGCTATCCCTGGCTTACTGTTGGATGAAGTACAATAAAGACTACTTTTTCTGACTTTTAGGGCTGGGGGCTTAGCTACTCTGGTAGAGTGCATGCTTAGCATGCTCTATAAGGACCTGGGCTCAATCCCCAGCACCAAAAAATAAGACTTTGGCTTCTGTTTTATAGTAGCAACACTACTTACTTCATGGGACTCAAAGAAGGTTGATTTATTACTAGTAAATCATTTAATTTCCAAAATACAAGTAGCATTTATCTTAACTATAGATGTGTTCTCAGTTGTGCTAGAAAATAGAAAACAACAAAGGCTAGTATGAAAAAGGAGAAAAAGAACTGCTGCTTTTGACCTTCTGTGTGTGAAGATAGATCAGACTTATCATAACACTGCATTATCAACTAGTGGCCAAGAAGCAGTTATAAGGAGAAATAACTATTATCTGAAATTTGAAGTTCATTAATGAGACCTAACAGTCAATGTTTCTTCCTATAAAGAAATAGATGTCTGTTAAACTTAACACTATGGGTTAAGTAATAGGGCTGCAATGATAGATTTTAGGCATAACAATAAAGTAGGGCAGCTTTAAGGGGCAAAGATCAGTCTGTTCTGATGTAAGAGTACTGGACTGCTTACTTATATTTTGTGAGTAGTCTGGTTGGCATAAGATTTGCTAAAAGTTTGGACTTGGAATGGGATTCTAAACTAAAAGAGATCTCCTCACTAGGATAGCTGAGAAAGCAGAGCAGACCCTCTTCCAGGCTGGAACTGCATCCTTGGGGCTGTTTTAAACCTGGAGGTAGGATTCTTGAATGGTGTTTACCATCTACTGTATGACCTCAGAAAGAGGTACAGTTTAAAGGAACTGAAAGATAAGTAACCTCAAAATAAGTGAATACATTTAATAAAGTAACCTAATAAATACTTACCACATCTCAGTTATAAATAATGACTCCGAATCATTTAAGGCAAAGACAAGTATTAACTTAAGCCTACTTAACAAGTAGAATAACAAATGTAAAGGTAGATGTAAAGTTTATCAAAAATCACATGGTCAGAAGAATTAGGATCATAGCTAGAAGGACACTATTTTCACTTTTATCATAAGAGATTATTTTATCAAAGTGGCATAAGTAAAGTCATGCTTTTTACCTTAAAAATGCGATACCATCATTCTCTTGCTTTCTAATGCACTAAGGACTCACATTTGATTGTGAATTTTTCAAAACTCATTCCAGAAACACACATGGTAACATGATGGAATATAAGAAATCTTTTTTAAAAAAAGAATATAACTTGAAAAAAACTAGAATAAATATGCAGTTAAAAAATAACCTTACAAAACTATAGAACATCATCTTCCTCAGGTATATCACATACACTTACATAAAAACTGATAAGATGCTGAATAATTAAATGTACTCTCAAAAGTTTGTAAATATTTGCTTGCACTATATACAATATCCCATTATTTAAAATATTGAATTTCTCCCAAGAACTCCAAATATATTACATGTTATTACATGAATTCTTACAGAAAATCCCTTCAAACAAGGAGTGGTATGTCTCACAACTTTGAAGCCTGAATCTTATCAACAAATTCAATTGAAGGGTTAAATATTTCCCAAGATGCTTCCATCCAGAACTCTTTTTTTCCTTAAGGAAATTAAATTATAATCATGAACAATAATTTTCTGAACTTCTCATATATTTTTCAGAAAGGAGATTAATGTCAATTTAAAGGTAGAATCGAGCCTTTCAAAACAATCTAAAACAGTTTTAATTACCTAGGAATTTGAGAATAATTAAAAATTTTAGAACACTGGCTATCATAAATTGGTGAGTATATTTGGTTTTATTAATTGTATGTTTTGAGAGGATATCACATATTAAACACAGAGGTATATACACACATGACAACTCAAACATTAAAAAAAAAGATCTATGTATGTAAAACTTCAGGGTTGCCTTTTCCATATTTAGTATAAAGATAATGTAAAATTATTGTTCTATCTAGCCTGTGATTTCTGAATAATGGAGTATTGTTTCAGAAGTCACAAAAAATTTAAGTAGATTATTATTTTGACCAATTTTCAAAGCTTTTTCATTTTGAATTTGTAAATCCAAAATTATACCTAACTCTGGCTATCCATCTTAAAAATCAATCACAGGATCATGACATGTGTTATATATATATATATATAAGTGCTTTATTGTCATTAGGATATTATGGCCAAAACAGTATCTGTAATGTCATGCTATTGGCTTTTATTGCTAATTTGGGTTATATTTTTTTGTATTGAGTATAACTTTGGATTATTTTCTAAATTTGTTTTAATAACCAATCTGCTGTTTTAAAGGTAACTGTCCTTATAGGCTATTATACTAGATTCTAGAATCTGGGGTTTAGGCTACTATTGCTATAGTAATACTGGTTTTCTGAAACAATTTCTATTTTAGAACTATGGTCAGCAATTATACAAAGTTGGCCACAAAAAAAAACCCCTGATGTATTTGACATTTGATATTATATAAATATCAAATAAAAATGGAGATTGCCTAATACAATCATACCTGTAATGAAAGTGAAAATTCTACTTATAGGGTATAAAGCATACTCCAGTAGCACTAGTTAAATGACTTATTCAGGGACTTGACTTCTATGGGCATTTAAACATTTGAAAATATATAACCTTTAATGTCTATAAATAGTCATGCCTTGAATGCTGAATGTGGACACTCACAGTCCATAAGCAACCCTCATTTGCATTCATGTATCAGCACGCCATGTATCTCCAAAGCACCTGTGTGTGTGTGTGTGTGTGTGTGTGTGTACTGTATCAATTATAATTGTTCAATATCATTGTAAATCATTTTCTTTTCAGTAAAGCTTTCAGAAAAAAAGTCTATTATCTTGTACACAATTCTTTGATCACATTATCTAGGAAGAATCCAGGGTAGAATCTCTGGGCCTCTTTGCCTCAGAACAGCACTGTTAGTTTGTTTGGGTTTCAAGTTTGGTTACTCGTCACTGAGATACAATGAACTTTTCTGAATTTATTTTTCTTCAGCATTTGCATCTATGCTGAAATGAATTAAATTGTATTATTTCATTCCATATTAGGAGGAACATAATGTGCATTAATTATGTAATCAATTATAAATACATTTATTATAGAAATAATTTCTTTAAGTATAGACTATATTCCAGATAATATGCATTTTTATATCACACAAGGCTAAAAATATATATGTGAAAGTCATCTCTGTTGTACCAAGAAGGTAGAAATATTTTGTGGACAAACTCCTGTGCTGCTAGAGTTATCCCACAGCTGTTTAGATAGGCCTCATGGAGCAGCATGAAGGTACACTGGATAATACTGTGCATTTCCTGAGAGTGCAGAACTGAAATTTCTCTTATACTTTACAGTGTGTTAAAACATTAAGTCACAGGACACCAACTTGATACTGTGCGTTTGATTCATGTTGCTTAAAAGAAAAACAAATTTATGAACCAGCTATGTGATTCTGGAATTAGAACTTTAAAAAATCTATAGCTTTCCAATTTTAATAATACAGCAATTTGGGTATATCATTTCATTGTGAAAATGATTTAAAACACGGTGTGAATACTATTTATTGCCATATATTTTTTCTTACCAGCTGGCACTCCATGTGACAGCTTGGATGAGGGGAGAAACACATTCAGCAGCCAGGTGTCTGAGGCCACTAGACAAAGATGATCATCAATAGTTAAGCACCAAACCCTTAAAAGTGTGAATATTGTATATATGAAAAGTTAGCAGTAACATAGAATATGGTTAACTTAGTTTAGTGATGGCTGCATATCTGAATATGTTTTAGGAAGAATTTATACCATCCAAGAATCCTGAAGAAGATATTACAGAGATGAATGTGGAAATTTGTGTATTATGTCAATGCATTTAAAGAGGACATTTTTCCTAATCATTAAACAAAAAAAGTCTGTTTCCTAAGAGAAATATAAAAAAATATAAAAATTACTTAACATACATAGTACATAGTATATGTAATATTATACATATGTATTGTGTGTGTGTACATGACAGCTGATAGTTACTCTCAAATTTTGTAAATTATTCAGTGGATTCAATCTTTTTTTTTTTCAGTATTTTATTTAGAGACAAGGTCTCACTGAGTTGCCTAGTGCCTCGATGTTGCTGAGGCTGGCTTTGATCTTTCAGCTTCAGCCTCCAGAGCTGCTGGGATTACAGGTGTGTCCCACTGTGTCTGGCTTGGATTCGATCTTTGATGCAACAAATAGAACAAGTACTCTATTGATCATGTATTTCAAAAAGCACGATGATCATTCACAAAAAATAAAACTCCAAAAAACTACTAACTGCAAACTTAAATTGTCAAACATTACAGAAATTTGCAGAGCCATATTTTGCTGACCATATTCTTTAAGGAAAACTAAAGTAATTGGTTCAAATAAGTTTTACATGTAAAATAAATAAACTTTCTTTAAGCATCATTTTGTGTAAGGTTTTACAGGATAAGGCACTCTCTTAGTCTGCATGACCTTGCTTCTAGCCCAAGCTTATGTGTATATGCTAAATTAGTTAGCATCAGCATGTCACAGCAATAAATGAAAAGAAGAACCTCATAGGAGAGTGCAAGGTATTGCTCTTCATTTTTCCATTAACGACAGAAATGAAAAGACTATTCTATTTGTACAAATTAGAATGGATAGCCATACATCTCTGAAATAATGAAAAATACGTGGCCTTGAACAGACTTCTGATGTTCAAGTCTTTAAATGGTAGAAGACTAACTGACACTGACATTAAGATTTTGTTTCTGTAAGAAATTTGATCAAGAAGGTAGGTCAATAACTACTATTTTCTTCTAATTAGAGTAAGTGACCCTTCACTAGTTAAATACCGAACTGAACAACAGCTTTACAAAACTATTTCAAGTATTCATTATCACAGTGAAAATGTGAGACCAATGTTAGTGTGAATGACTGGAAAATTCCTTTGATGAAAAAGGCAAGGGTACTAAATTAAAACATATACAAAATGCTTCAACGCATTTCTTTATGATATGAATAGAAAGATTATCCATAGAAAGTTAGAAAAATTAAGATAAATTATATATTAGTACACCTTTCAACCACATTTTATATAAAAATTCAGAATAGTGTACTGTTTCTCAATCTACACAATAAAAATGCCTAGATTTGGCAGGTATCTTCTATCTGTGCATGTACTTTCTCAGTACAAGATTTTTATTTGTTGAGTCACTTTTTAAAAGTTTTATTTAATTGTTAACCTTATTGAATCATCAGTAAACCCAGCTGATTGGGACCCACTGTGGTTCCATTCTTAGTTTTTCTGTGGCAGTTTGTAGTTTCTCAAAGGCTTTGTCGAGATTGTCGTTTACAATGATCAAATCAAAATAGTGGTTGTATGCTCTCTGAATCCGTGCACTTTCATCCACGGTTTTCTTCAAGTCAGAGTCCTGTTGAAGAGTTTTAGAAGGAAATGTTTGTATTGTAATGCATATTTACTTGCTCAAACTCCAACTAAAAGTGAGTAAGAAATAAGTAGGTTGGACATTTTTTTGTAATTCTGATATTAATCCTCAAAATTTAAAAAAAGACATTATCATCTGTTCATATCTTACTCTTTTCACCTACTTTGGTGTTTGTATTTTTGAATATTCTGTACCTTCTGTTTCATTGATATTTGGACAAAATTTCTAACTGAAAGCTGTTGACAACAATCATTAGCAATAATCATGTGATAATCTAAAGTAATAAAAGAATTATTGCAGATTATTGGCTTCTAGTTTCTATATTCTTCTATTTCAGAAGATATTTATCTTCTGGCCCATTTAAATCATGGAGTCCAACTTGCAGTGGCTATTTATAAAAGCCAATTTACTAACAATCTCAGAATCTTAAGTGTGTTTTGAAGACTACCCACATGCTAGCCATTTACCACCAAAACATACACTCATACACACTTTTAGTTATTTTTTTGTGTGTTAGTATTATTTATATTTCATGAAATAGTTTTAGTCATTTTGGAATGCTGTAGGGAGTACTTCAGTAATGGGTTCTGCATGAGCAAGCAGAGCTTTTCATAAAATTCCAAGTGTTTTGGGAATTTCATTATATATCTGTATATTCTACAAATATTTACCAAGCTCCTATTAAAGTGGCTACTGTTTCGGACCTGACGGATATAAACATGAATACCAGCAGAAAGAGTTCCTAACTTTTAGTGAAAGAGACAGGTAAGGAACAAATAAATAAACACAAAAAATTGCATGTTGTAATAAGTGCTATAAAAGAAACAAACTGGGCATAAAGAATTTTAACAGATCTGCTCTAGATAAAGTCATGCTGAGAAAGTAAGGGAAAATAAGAAGGTTGTCATGTGTATAGCAGTAGAAAGAACAATGCAGGCAGAGGAAATAACAGTGCAAAATCCAAAGGTGGGCAATGGGCCTGGTATATTTAATTGACTAAAAGAAGACCAGAGTGGATGGAGAGCTGGGGATTAGGGCTAGGGTCTGGAGGGTTTCAATACAATGAAGGGAAATGTGATCTGACATGAGTGGATGCAGCAAGGTTGGTGGCAGAGAGGGTGGAAAAGACACCAGCCTGGACATTTATTCTAATGATAAAATCATCAGGATTAGCTGATGGGCTACATGTGGAAAGAGAAGAAAATGAATACATCAAGGCTAGTGCTTACATTTCCAGTTTGAGTAAATGGGTGGCTATAGAAGATGTAGAGTAAGGGTTATGCAGAACGAGGACAGCATGATTTTTTTGGGGGGGGGTGGGGTGGGTAGAGGGCAAAAAGTTCTACTTTGTATGTAGCAGACACCCATGTGGTTGTGAGACATCCAAAAGGAGATGTAAAGTAGGTGACAAGGCAAGTATCCTAGGTCTAGGCTAGCTACTACATCATCAGCATAACAATGGAGGCATGTAAGTGGTTTTGGTGAAAACACCTAAGAAAAAGTTTACAGAGAAGTGGGTTCACTACTATAACCAAGGAACCTGAATGCCCATGAACACTTCCCTGGAGACTTTTAAAATACCTTTGATGGTAAATTTTATAATGAGATCATAATTCAACATGAAAGCAAGTTTTACCTATTATTATCATTAGCAATCTAGATTGTTAAAAAAAAATCCAGTAACAAAAAGTGGAATATAGACAGAAAGGGGAATAAAGAATCTCTTTATAGAATAAGCTCCAAGATATGCTATTTCTACTACATAGACTAAGATACCTTTTATATAAGAAATGGGGGAAGGAAGGTAACCATATATACTTTAAAAAAAATGGTTACCAAAAATGACCACCTTTGTAGGTGGGAGGGAAGAGAGTGGACAGGACAGAGAAAAGGTAGATTTGTTTTTAAAATTTACATTGAAACTATGAAAATGTTATACAGAATTATACAACAAATTTAAATGCAAATAGAAGAAAAGGGTAATACCTTAATATCAAAATCAAAATGAAACAAACCTGTTTTTCAAGTCAGTGGCCTAATCATATAGAAAGAAACTATTTTAATGACTTCAAAACAAAATAACTCAATACCTTGTGGGATAGCTATATCCTCAAACATTAAATAAAAGTCTTGACACTTAAAACTTCAAAACCATACTGTTATTAAGAGTTACTCAGAAATTATACTTTGTTTATATATATGCAAAATAAGAAATATGTTAATGTCATCAGGAACCAAGACTTTTAGCATAAGAAGCAAAAAGGCAAATAAAACATAAAATTTGAATTGGAACTATCAAGTTGAGCTAATTGTGTATGTTTTTTAAAGCAAAAAATTGTATCCTCTCTCTGACCACTGAAAGGCCTAGAAACTATGTCCAACAGAGTTGAATGTACACCCTGAGAGCCTAGATTATCTCTAATCAGGGCATCTGGATGGCTGGTTCCATGACTGGGTCAGGAAATATATAAGAATAACCTGGAACAGCCTGTCATACTAGGAAGCAAAGAATCATCAAAAACTACTAGGGTTGTATTAAAAAGGCTCGGAAGTCAAACTGAATAGGCTCTTACTAGCTGAAAAAAGCATAATTTAAGCATCAAAAAGAATAATAACTAACCTAAGTACATAGGAAGTATTGTAGGTCACATTAAACAGAGTGAATTTGGCTGGGCACAGTGGTGCATGCCTGTAGCCCCACAGTTCAGGGAGCTGAGACAGGAGGATCTAGAGTTCAAAGCCAGCCTCAGCAATACTAAGGCGCAAAGCCAACTCAGTGAAACTGTGTCTCTAAATAAAATACAAAATAGGGCTGGGGGTGTGGCTCAATAGTTGAGTGTCCCTGAGTTGAATCTCAGGTACCCACCCCGCCAAAAAACAAAAATGAAAACAAAAACAAAACCAGAGTGATTTGGTGGTATGTGTTCTAAAGATACAAAGAACTGGGCATATGTGTTTGGGGGGGGGCTGTTCACAGAAAAATCACACCAGAAGTGGTACTGTTGATAAGATTTTTTTTTTCTCAGACTGTTGTATTTGTACTGTCAGATAAAGCAAATGAACAATTATGTGAGTCTCACTTTCCCAATATTTCTGAAAACTATGATGTATATTCAGCAATAGGAAAAGGAATTAGTTTTAAGATAAAAGGATTTTGGGAAAAATCAGTATGAATTCATGACACAGTGTCCTTTAAATGTACAAACAGAAAAGCATGTATCCTAGCTTTAAATTTTTTTTTTTGTAGTTGTAGATGAATACAACCCTTTTATTTTATTTGTTTATTTTTATGTGGTGCTGAGGATCGAGCCCAGTGCCTCACAGGCTAAGCAAGTGCTCTGCCACGTAGCTACAGCCCCAGCCCTATCCTAGCTTTTTTTTTAACGTAAAAAGGTCTAGCTAAAAACAATGATTAACCTTGAGACAATATGCATTGCATCCTTGCATTACAGTCTTAAAATACCATTTACTCTAAAAGGAACCAAAACATTTTTGAAAAATGTTTGATTTCTGGCCTAGAATTGAAAATGAAAATGATGAGCCTAGAATATCTATCATATCAGTCAGCAAGGAAGTTATCCAAGACCATTGGGTTCATAAAAAAAGTATTTAGCACCAACTAAAATAGGCTCACATTGGTCAACGATGGGACAATTTGAACATCTATAGGAATAATAACTGCCACAGGGAACAAACCCATTCATTATTTTGCAAGCTGACCCATAAAGGTAGAGTCAGGCTTGTATCCTGCCTTTCCTCCATAAACTATACCACAGAGTAATCAACTTTTAATGAGGACCCCTCCCCTTTTTTTCTAAACTAGAGCATTATAGTAATACCTTGTAGTTGGCTTTATTTTGACAAAATCATACATGCATGAAATTTAATTTCAATCCCTTTCCCCTGCTTTTTCCCTTCCCTCCTCCTCCTGTTCTCCTTCTTCTATTGATCTTACTTTTGTTCTTTCTACATACCCGTAAAGGCAAAATTCCCTGTTGTGCATTTATATATGCATACTATGATTTTGTTAAATTCATTCCATATTTCTCCCCATTTCCTGTCCTTCCCTCTCAATCTTCTTGTATTAACTCCACTGATCTTCCCTATATCATTATGGTATCTGATCTCTATCAGCTGGCTACAAGTGTCTGGGTTTGTCTATGTGATTTCTATTCTATTCCATTGGTCTTCATGTCTATTTTGAAGCCAATACCATGTTGTTTTTGTTACTATAGCTTTGTAGTATAATTTGAGTTCAGGTATTGTGACGCCTGCTCCATCTATCCTCTTGCTCAGGATTGTGTTGGCTATTTTGGGTCTCTTATTCTTCCAAATGAATATAAGAACTGTTTTTCTCTAGTTTTGTGAAGAATGTTATTGGTATTTTGATAGGAAAGTATTGAATCTGTATATTGTTTTTGATAGTGTGGTCATTTTGACAATATTAATTCTGCCTATTCAAGAATATGGGAGGTCTTTCCATTTTTCAAGGTCTTTAATTTTTTCAGTGTTCTGTAGTTTTCATTGTAGAGAACAATCACCTTCTTGGTGAGATTAATTCCCAAGTATTTTTCTTTTTTTTTTTTAGGTTATTGTGAGTGGCATAGTTTTCCTGATTTCTTTCTTAGTAGATTCATTATTGGAGTACAGGAAAGCAATATGATCTTGTATCCTGCTACTTTAAAAAAATTTTTTTTATCAGTTCTAGAAGTCTTTAGTGGAGTTTTTTGGGTCTTCCAAAAGTAGGATTATGTCTTCAGCAAAGAGAGACAGTTAGACTGATAACTTCTTTTCCTTAATTTCCTTCTCTTGCCTGATTGCTCTGGCTAGAGTTTCAAGAACTATACTGAATAGAAGTGGTGATCTTCTGGACATTTGTCCTGTTCCTGATTTTAGAAAAAAATTTTTAAGTTTTTTTCCATTCAGTATGATGTTGACTTTGGATCTGTCATATCTAGCCTTTATAATGTTGAGGTTAAATTCTTATGTCCCTAGAGTTTCTCCAGTGTTTTTAACACAAATAGGTGGTGGGTTTTAGTAAAGGCCATTTCTGCATCCACTATAATGATTCTTATTCTTAATTCTATTTAATTGCTGAATTACATTTACTGATTTGTGTATGTTGAACCAAACTTGTATCCCTTGAATGAAATCAACTTGATCATGGTATATTATCTGCTTTATGTGTTTTTTGAATGTGGTTTTATAGTATTTTAATAAGGATTTTTGCATCTGTGTTCATCAGGGATATTGTTCTGATGTTTTCTTTCCTTTATGTGTCTTTGGTATTGATATCAGAGTTATACTGGCTTCCTAGAATGTATTTGGAAGTGTTCTCTGCCTTTCAATTTCATGCAGTAATTTGAGAAAGACAAGTGTTAATTCTTTAACACTTGTAGAACTCGGCTAAGAATCCATCTGGGTCTGGGCTTTTCTTTGAAGGCTTTTAACTGCTGTTTCAATTTCAGTACTTGATATTGGCCTGTTTAGGTATTTTACAGCTTCCGGGTTCAATTTCATATGTATCTAGAAATGTGTCAATGTCTTTTACATTTTCCAGCTTACTGGAGTATAAATTTTCAAAAGTTTCCTCTGGATCTCAGAAGTATCTGTGATGACATCTCCTTTTTCACTTTGTTAATTTAGGTCTTTTCTTTCGTTTTTTTTGGTACTAGGGATTGAACCCAGGGGCACTCAACCACAGAGCCACATCCCCAACCCTATTTTGTATTTTATTTAGAGATAGGGTCTCACTGAGTTTGCTGAGACTGGCTCTGAACTTGTGATCCTCCTGTCTCAGCCTCCCAAGCTGCTGGGATTATAAGTGTGCACTACAGTGCCCAGCTTCTCTTTCTTTGGTTAGTTTAATTATGGTTTTATCAATCTTGTTTATCCTCTCAAAGAACCAACTCTTTTTTGCATTAATACTTTGTATTTTTTTATTTTCCATTTCATTAATTTTGGCTCTGATCTTAATTGTTTCTTGTCCTCTACTAATTTTGGAATTAATTTGTTTTTCCTTTTCTAAGGCCTTGAGATGGAGCATAAGTGTATTTATTTGGGAGTCTATTTTTTAAAAATAGGCACTCAGTGTTATAAATTTTTGAGGTCTTTTAAAGAATTCTAGTTTTATATATGCAGAAGAAATAAAAAACTTAGAATATTACCACTTTGTCATTCCTAAAAACAAAACAATAACTGATCCAGGCAAAGAGCAAAAGTTTGCTAAAATCATAAGGTAAAAAGTTTATCACCATTTTGAACCTAGTACTTAATTATTATTTTTTTTTTAGTGCTTAATGGATCTTTATTTTATTTATTTTTATGTGGTGCTGAGAATTGATCCCAGTGCCTCACACATGCAAGGCTTGCGCTCAACCACTGAACTACAACTCCAGCCCTATCACTACTTAATCTTAACACAAAAGGGGAGACAGCCTAACATAAGCACCATGATGTAATAACATAAGAAATACCACAAATGAATTTTTCTTGTAAAAAAAAAACAAAACCAAAAAACCCCGATAAAACTCACCTAAATCTACATCTGATCAGGCCTCTAGATCTACCTATCAGTTCACAGGAAAGAGAAAGGACAGAAGAAAATATAACGAAAGTGAAAGAATGGGTAAACTCCAGACTGTGGAACACTAAAGGGTAAATGTCCTATAAAATGACAACAACAGCAACTAAATTACAATGTTAGAGGGGAAAGAGGCAGGCAGTGAGAATTTTCAGATTAAAAGACCCAAAAGGGATGTCTACTTCCAGGAACCAGACTAACCCTACCTCCTGACAACAAAAACACAGAAAAAAAAATATGCCAAACAATAGTTTGAAAGACACTGTACATTAGGCAATGAAAGAGGTTCCAGAGACAGGAAACAAATGAAGCAAGCCCTGTGAATACCCCCATTTACAACCTTGAAAGAGTTTGCAGGGGAGGGAAAGCCTAAAAGGAGTCTAAGAACTAAGTTGAGGACAGAGATGGGAGTTCAAAAGTTTCCAAGGTGAAAACTTTTCAGGACAGAAAACCAGATAAGAGCAGCATGGGGGCAAACTCTAGAAATTTGCAGCTGATCCCTGAAGAAGTCAGCTGAGCACCAATGGTGCATGTGTCAAACACCAGAAAGGAGTGTAGATATTTATGCTGAGCCAGGAATAGTACTGTTCCTACCAGAACAGAAAAACTCATGATTCACAGGCCATTTGGAAGAGCACCAAACCCCAAATGGGTTTGGGTTTTGCCTCAATAGAGGGGAATAATGGGCCTGAGAATGAGAACTGTTCAGGTCTTAACTAATAAATTATAAACACAAGACCTAAAAGGAACAAACTATTTCCAAATAACTGCATCTCAAAACAAAACTCAAAATATCTGGCATAAAAACAAAAACGGAAACAAAACAAAACAACACCCCCACCCCACCCCCCCGCCAAAAAAAATAACCAGGATTGCAAGAAGTAGAAAATATTATCCATAATGGGGGAAAAAAATCAGAACTGTCCCAGGATTTACATAAATAACAGGACTATGCTGAGAGCCATTAGCCAAGTAGGTATGACAATTTCCTTGCCAGTGTACCCCATGTTGCTTAGAGGAAGGACTTGCCTTGGACATTTGCAGTGACATTGCATGTATGCTTGAGTAAGGTGACCTTGCTCAAGGACCAGGGCGGATCCGGGTTTAGGGCGGATCAGGTTTTAGGGAATATCCCGCTCCTTGGGTTTAGGGCGGTTCCAGATTTAAGCTGTACCCTGCCCGTATCCTGCTGATTAGAGCCGGGTGGAGTACGTGAATTTGGCAGCAGAACTCGGATTTCCCCAGAACGTGTGTAGAGTGCTGGTGTGAGTTCAGGAATAAAGAATTGCTGTTTGAATCTACAAAGCTGTGAGTGGCTTGTGATTTTGTGCCCAGCCAGACTGGGCAGGACTAGAAGATAATAACATTAACTTATAACTACGTTTCAAATATTCAGAAAGTTAAATAGAGACATGGAACAACTTGAAAAAGAAGAACCATGAAGACTAATACTACCTGATTTCAAGATATATTGTCTGCTAGAAATCAGGAAGAGGTGAATGCTGTGGGGAATGGTTTGGATGTGGTTGCAGAGACACACAGGAAAAAGCATGGAGATGATAGATAGGTTCATTATTTTGGTTGGAATGGTTTCATGGGTGCATACATATGCTCAAACTTATCAAACTGGGTACTTTAGATATGTACAGATAACTGTATATCAATTACACCTGAATTAACTAAGTTGAAAAAAATTTAAAAAGAGATGGGCTGGGATTGTTGCTCAGTGATAGAGCATTTGCCTTGCACGTGTGAGGCACTGGGTTTGATCCTCAGTACCACATAAAAATAAATAAATAAAATAAAGGTATTGTGTCCATATACAATTAAAAATATTTTTAAAAAGATATATTATAATATTACTTATTAATTTTTTGTGTAATAGTGTTATTATCATGTTTTAAAAAGACCTTATCTTTCAAAGATAAACACTAAAGTATCTATAGATACTTTAGTGTTTTATATAATATTATATAATATTATAGGCTTGCTTCAAAAATAATGCAAGGTGAGGAAGGAGGTGAGGAGATATTTAACTCAACAAGAATGGAATGTATTATTGAAGGGAGGTGTTGGGCACATGATGGCTCACTTTTTTCCTTCTTTTATGTGTATCTTAAACTTTTCATTATATGAAAAAGGAGTAGGAGAAAAGAGAAAACACTGAAACTGAACAACAGAACCCCTAATTCTAACAATAATACTGTTTTTTTTCTTACATTTTATAATGGGTAATTACATTTTTGTTTTAAAATAAAAGGTACAAGTATTCTCAAGAAATAGTAGTACTGTTCCAAATCCTAACAACAGAATTTTATTCTGTAACAATTTATGTAGTATATTTATTTGTTTAGTATAACTAGGAAGAATTAAACATACTGAAAAGAAAAGGAAAAGGAAATAATTTAGGGAAAAATATAAAAAATATAAGCCTGAAAAGAATTGCTCACCGTCAAAAGCTTGGTAGTGATTCCTGCATCAACAACAGCTTTGTGCATGGCACGCAGCGTCTCTAGCTCTGGAGCCGCAATAAATACCACATAGGGCATGAATTCGGACGTCCTCAACACTTTCAGTGCCTGTGTAAAATAATTACAAACCAATTTATATTAGAACTTGAATATGTTACCCTTTAATATAACTCAAAGTCTATCTGCCTTCTTCCTAAGGATTACGGACATAATTTACTCCCTCTCCTATTGTTCTGCTGATTTCATATAGTACCTTCCTAAAATAGTGATTCATTAATTTTGTAGTAAACTCAGTGTCAGTCCTCCTTTGTTCCTTCAAACAAAGGAAAAGTGTAAGATTTAGTGATCCAAAACTCATGAGTGATGTAAACTCTTTCTGTGTAATTGTAAAATTCTGTCAATATTGAAAAAATAGAAATAACCTCAGTGCTGATTACTTAAGAGTGACTAAATAAATACATGTACATCCATATTGTGATATACTATGCAGCAACCACAAAGAAGAAAAATTATTCACAGAA